TAATTCACAGATTTATGTGATAAATCCTTTCCCGTGATACTCCAAAAGCCGAAAAAAACGATTTTGATCCATACTATCTCCCTAACTAACCAAAATAATACAATTTTTCTCCGTGTTTCTTCGTAAAAATCCCAGATGTGTCGGTTTGTGTTTGCAAGTATTCCTAGTATTTGAGAACATATCACAATTCCCTTGTCTGACCTACAGCTTACTTCTTGAACTAAGTGTGAGTAGCTACTTTAGTTGATTTTCTAAATTACTGCTCCATACATAAAGTTGTTGGACCTGTCATGACTATTAACTTTCTCGATCAGATAGGTCAACCTCTAGCTGTCAGAGTGAACACTGGTATAAACGTTTGTTTCTCAAAGCATAAAGTTACAAAGGTACTTTAAAGGTCATTCCATCGACTGTTGAATTAACAAAGATACTTTCCTTATTTCTCAAAAAAATATCTTCCTACCAAAAATAAAGTAATTTGGTTGGTTATTAAAGTGACTGTGAAGTAGCGTCTAAAGTTGCTCATCTAAAATTACATGTTAAACTTAGCAACTTTTAAATGTGGAAAATCCAGACATTTTAAACTTATTCTGTCAGGCTACATGTGACCGAAAGTTTAGAACGCTGAGTACTGTAAGACAGTGGTTGATTATCGGATATTCGCAAAATATTTCGAAATTCTAAAGTGTTCTGTTTTTCTAGGATCATTTGTGTTCAACTCCTAGCTGTGTTAAAATCTGACTTATTTCAAGATTCTGTTCATCAAAACCACAAAAGAACTTCAGCTGGTCGAGTAATATTCTTAAAACAACAATTACCTCATGAAGTTTGTGTAGAAATACCCCAAAAGCAAAGACGGGAACGAAACCAATGTTTCTTACTTCACCTTTCAAAGAGATGACGGTGTGGCAACAATTAACAGACGAATTAAGCGTGTACTCTCCAGGACCTATTCAGTCAAATGATTTGCTTAACTGCATCAAATACTATGTGCAATTACAAAAACTAAATTAACCAGTTTTCTGATAATTACGTGCAGGAACAATAAAGTAAGAAAAACATAGGGGTGTTGTCTGCCAAGACATCATCCTCATCTGGCAGTGCAATAACTCGTCACTAATTTGACAAAGAACACCAAGTAGACAAGGTGGTGCCCTTCAAAGTAACAACGAGGTCTAAGACTTTGTAGTTACTTCGAGTTGCTGAAGTCGCCAATACCCGATGATCTCAACCTGAATTATGTGCTCAGATGATCACATTTATTATTGTCTTGATAGTTAGTGTCTTTTCACCCACCCACCGATCTCGGAGAACTGTTGTACTTTTATTTTATGTTAGTCGGATATCGAGCTTACTCACGATCAGGTTAAATGAACAACGAAGACTAACGAATGGTCGTCTACAACGACACAACAATACAAACAGTTACGACAGAGTTCATCGATAGAAGCTTTCGCAGTGGTATAGCATATGCTTTGCAGTTAAATGAAGTTACTAAACAGGAATCGACATGATATGACACAGTATGCAAATGTTTGAATAAAGTTAACATGCTAGGAAGTTTCAGTTAAACATATTACTCACTATAGAGTTCTCGAAAACTGATATGAATATTATAAAGATCCTTTAGTAGAAAGTGAGAATTTATATTACAAAATGATATTATTTTACTTTGAAGATTTTATAACTTTTTCCAGTACTTCAGGTTTTGTTAAAAATGCTATTTGCAATGTATATCAGTATCGTTATAGTTGTTGTAAGTTCATCAAGGGTTTTCATAGTGATGAATGTACTGAATTTGAGTAAAAATATATCTCCATCTTGACTACTTGAGGTAGCTGTGGTTTGGCAGACTAGTACTGATACTAGGTGATGATTGAGGGTGAAATGAAAATTTGGACCACGGCAGGATTTGACCAAGTGATCACCATCAATCAAGTGACATTCGCTTGAGATCTTGTTAAGTTGATAAAATCAGGTTGTTTTTTTACAGCTACTGGTACACTTCAGTGATAGTTTGTCCAAGTGCCTTTGAGGAACGAGACGAAATTAGAAGTCAATATCTTTCTTAACAGGCCTGGGAATGGTCAGGGCCATCGTATATAATATATATATATATATATATATATATATATATATATATATATATATATATATATATATCATTCCCTATATACATATATCGATTAAGTTTGACATTTGATCGGAAACTTGCCTAGAACATTTTATCCTTTTACTTATATTTGAGAACATGCAGCTACGAAAAAGATACCAATCTTCGCTGTAACCTCCTTTCGTTTTGCAATGGCCAGATGAGGATTGTTCGTTACTTAAAACACTACTGACGAGAATGTACCTTGCAACCAAGTTGGTCCATCTTCACAGAACTACCTGTTCATTAATGTAGTAGAAGTTGACAAGTTCGCTACCCATGATGAGCATGCCGTAGACTGTTTAAGCACGTACCAAAGAGCTTTCAGTGATAAAACCATCCACCTTATCGATACACAAGATTTGAGGCAGATACGTTGAAATACTTCAAAATGGTCAGCAAACAAAACGAATTAGTCCGAAGTTTGTTAAGGCTATAGACAACAATTGTTTGAAACCAGCAGTATGTCGTTAAGAAAGCGGTCATCAGTATTCCTATCTTACCAACACGATTTTCGACTCTACTTATTTGACATAGAAATTATTTAACTGCACGTTTGTCTGTGCCAACAGCTTTACAAATGACTGTAGTATAGCAATTGTCAAGTCTGACAATTACCAACTTTACCGCTGTTTCTAAAGCAAACCTTATATCACGTCAGGATGAGCGTTGCTGTCACGTTCAGATAGGTGTTTAGCAAACTCTTCCATAAATAATTATTTAACGTCCTTATCTTCTAATCGATGATGACTTCATTTGTTTCGGGAGTTTGCATCAGCTCGAACGGCCTTCTTGCTGACAAAACCTCAGCCCTGAAACAGAAAGCCTGTATGGGATTTCTCAACCAGGGTTATTTGTGGCGGTGACCGGTGAGATATCCGACTCCCTAGTAAAGAACGAGTACACTGCGCTGTAGTCCATTCCAACCTGTTGTACGGCTATAAGACATGGCCACTGAAAACAGAAGGCATGATCCGATCATGTGATTTTGACCACAGATGTCTTCGTAGTATTCCTCACGTTTGGTGGAATCATCATGTGAGCAATGTTACGATCAAGTGAAAGGTAATAGGCAAGTTGATCGATGAGTTTATGAATTTTCAGCGACTGAGATGGCTTGGATATATACTGCGTATGTCGATCCACCGCATACCTCGACGCTAGAGGAAGTCAAGTTTGGTTGAATAAAGACTCCGTGTTGCCAAAATGAGATGTGGCACTAGTCCATGAAGTCCCTGACTATCAGTTGGAGTCGTGTAGGACTTTACTGTCGTCTGTTTCTTAAAACCAGCTTGATGCAGACATACGATCCCGCACAAACGCGCGATCGAAGTACAAGTATTCCAAAAAAGCGGCAATCCTCCACCGATCCTCTTTAGCGATGGCTTATGGCAATTCGACCCACCTGTGTCCATCTTTGGTTTGATGTTGGTGGATGCCATGTAAAGCAGTATCTCTCCTTATGTCCGAAGTTAGTGCTGGCCAGAATGTGATTATTTGAACAAAACTGCAACAGACGATCACTATTGTCCGCTTGTTGACATGGAATTCCAGAAATGTCCCCAAGATACCTTTTCGATTGCCTCAGCTTCCCTACTTGAGCGCTAGCGTCACCTGCCAGTATAATTACAACTTAATGTTTTGCTTCGTGTAGCAAAATTGATAGTTTCTCATCCTTTGTATTGCCCGAACTGGAGCTGGTAGATTGGTCGATGGAGACTAAGAATAGGCATCGTCTAGTCTCATGATCCTTCCTAGTTCTTACAGATTTATTTAGTAGAATAGCGCACAGACTGTTTACTGGTATCCAGTTGAGAAGAGTGCTTTCTGCCCTACAACTCAGTGCTATGCCTACACTAGCAAGTCTAAGTGAGCTAGACTTTGGGTCTCTAGATACTCTTGAAGTGAGTTTTGAAGATTCACTACCAAGGCCAGTTGAGGCCAACCGCACTCGGATCCTATATACGTGGCTCATTGACACATCACACACCCATGGCTTGAGATTTTAGAGTTCTGGCGGGTGATGCATATTTCCCGATTTAGCATGAAGTTCAAATATTGAAAGCTCACACATGAAATCAATGGTGGGATCTTAGGAGACTAGGAATGAGATTTGGATACGTTTGATCATTCTCAATGGTCTCAGAGTGATAAGTAGTGAAAGGTGTAAGAGGCTCAATATTAGTATCAGGAGGTTAGGGCAAAGGAGGAGACAGAGTTGGGGAGAATAGTTCATTTTTCATTAGGTCTTGAATGCTACTGAAAGCGGGCAGGCGGTTGACATTTCTTGGCTGCGCCCACCGTGAAAAGCTTTTTCTTCTTAATGTACCTGAAAGAGGAAAAGACTTATGTGACTGTAGAAGCCTTGTCACATACGGTCTTTTACAAATCGTTGTTTTTAGATTTGATTGTTCTGTCGACAGATATAAAACCTATACTGTAGCCACCGGAGGGACCGTGGGGCAGGAAAGAGCGTGCTATTTTTGGGCCCGATCTTTCCTAAAACCCCTCTTCCTGTAGGGAAGGCAGCACCAGCGTGGCACTGCTGGTTATCCATGGGAAAAATCCTACTGCTGGAACACCCACCATCCAGTCAACCGTTGGACTTCACCCTCGAACTCCCATCATTGAGTAGCAATTTACACTTCAACTGTAACTGCTTTCCGTCCTACCACTAACCAACAAACCTTTCTGGCATGCAGGACCTCGAGAGAACAAGCGTTTCAGTGGGTGTTATTGTGATATACCACCCTAACCACTGTGTCAAGGTAGCCGCTACCGGTCGGGTCAAGATTCTGCAAAATTATTACACCACGAAAATGAGCACTGCAAATAATACCAAACAAACTGTCAGGTAAGATATTTTTAAGATAATCATCGGTAATTAAATAATACAGACAAACATTACATTCACATATGTTACATACATACTAGACTCGATCCATGAATCAGTAAAGCAACGATTAGTTTCATAACTAGCTCATTCCATCGTATATTGTTTAGTTTACATGGAAATATAACACTGTCTAACAAAAAATTCCTTCCAACATCATAAATATAAAGAGAAAAACTGGTAGACAATAAAATTTAGTCACATATAATACAGACAAATAATTCTACAATTCAGGATGTAACCGTCTAAACAGGTCATCAGGAGTCTCACTGCATGCTGCAGGAGTAATTAACTGCATAACATATTCACATCGAGATGGTTCACTAACTGAAGTAAGTCGATTAGAATCACCACAATGAACAAAAACCTGAAAATTATTTTTCAAGAAGAAAAAGTTTAAACTTTATTTTCACTAGATATAACATAAATACTGGTCAAAAAAGAAAATTACCATAACTTTCCCATTCAGATGTCTATAGGACACCTGAGCAAAATGATCATTTCAACTATCGACCCACTGATCAACAAACACCATATATGTGAAATAGAAACAACGTAACAGCATTCTAAAATTATAAATCCCATTTCAATGGTTGAGCAGAAGAATTTTGTCAAATTCTGAATTTATACAGGAGTAGAATCTGAGCACTATGGGAGAGTATGATTCCATTATATTCTGTGGCGTAAAAATGCCAAGTAAAGGCTCTTAGTGGGTCTTCGTGAGCTCCTCTCAACTTCTTAATGCTTCTCGGTATATCTCGATAGACAGCGAGTACAAAGATGTATTATAATTAGCTTGTGCGACAGATCAAACAGAATTTGCGTGAGGGTTTGGGGTCAGAACCCATGATTATTTGTCTCTAATAGAAGCCAGGTCCAACACATTCAAGCTTCCGGTAGAAAGAAGCCTGATTTCGGTGAGACGGTTTTGAAGTGGCTATTACGCCGATAACCAATTTTCGAAGACCTCTGAGACGCTAGGTAGTAGTTTACCTGCCCCAATGCTTTACGAAAACTGATCTCAATGCTTTATGCTCCAAGGTTGGTACACACAGACCCATCTAACAAAGAGGATTTTCATAAAGAACTCAAAGTTATAAACCACCTCAAAGGCAACCAGACCAGACAACCTATCCATTTACCTAGTTTAAGGATGGAGAATCAAAATCAGTGGCGAACATGTTACAGTTTTCTTGTTTCTTCTATTATTTATTGATAAGTAGAATGAAAGTAGTGAATGCTTCTTTCCAGGCATCTTTTAGACTGCTTCTCGAATAATCCAGTTCTGCTTTCTGTTTCTTTTTCACCTTAGTTCTACTTTATTATTGTGTACCTGGCAATGCCAGGTACCATGTTGATGTTGACTGACTGATTTATTTGTGTACCTCGACATCCTTCTATTCTATAAAGAATATCGAGTTGTATCTTTTCTGCTGAAGTAAACCTCTTCAGTTTATATATATATATATATATATATATATATATATATATATATATATAGAGAGAGAGAGAGAGAGAGAGAGTATGACAGTTTTATTTCATTGTTAAGTTTCACTAAAAATGAATTTCAGGAAGAAATTGATAAACTTATCGACAGAAAATGAAGTTTAAACAACAAAAACACAAAACCTACAATTCATCTAAAAATCACCGAACTAATTAAAAAATTTAACACACTTTGAGCATAATTCAACAGGAATTTAGTTTTTTTTAAAAAAAACACAGCATACTTTAGTAGATCTAGTTGGTCCATTCCAACATTGATCTCCATTCTCATAATACATAACTTCATAAGATTTTTCATTTTCTTCACCTTCTAACCAACGACCCCATCTACCGATACATGTTCCTACATCAGATTTTGAAGAACCAATTGATCTTTGATGAACTGATTTGAATGGACACACTCTGTATGTATACTCTCGATCATCCAATTCTAAACAACCATCTGGTAATTCTGTTAGCATACGAAAACCTTCTTCTGGACCATAATCAATTGGAGTAGGAATTGGTGTACTGTAAAAAAGAATATGCAAAGAATAACACTGAAATGAATCCAGTAAAAAGAAACTGTTATAATCAGATTAATAGTCTTCAAATTAGGCTCAGATATTTAAAGTCTAAGTGATATACGTATTCAACATGCTCATAACAAAATCACTTGGACATGAACATAAAATGAGACAAATAGACTAATGAAACTTAAAATGTATACATAAATTCGAAGATACAAACTCTGCACAACCTAAACATAAATCAAATTACACATATATGGTTCATGAAGAAAAAAACATGTCAACTTATATGGGGATGTTCAGTTATATCTGGAATTGAAAAATTGCCTTGGCAACTCAGCGATTAAGCACCAACCTCCTATGAGGGTCGCGTGTACTGCACAGCAGTCCGGTCTGTTCTACTGTATGGCTGTGAAACATGGCCATTGAAAGTGGAGGATATAAAAAGGCTTCAGGTGTTTGACCACCGTTGCCTTCGTAGTATAGGACGTATTCCGTGGTGTCACCACATGAGTAATGCAGAAGTTAGTTGTAGAGTTTTGGGGAGAAGAGGTAAGTCAGTTGACGAGGTTGTGAACCTTCATCGACTGAGATGGTTGGGACACGTACTACGTATGCCTAGTCACCGATTGCCTCGTCACACAATGTTGGCTGGGGTGGGTCCAGGCTGGAAAAAGGCCCGAGGTGGCCAGACTAAAACATGGCACCAATGTATGAAGTCTCTGACTGTTGGTTTAAGCCATGTAGGACGATGTAGACTAGGTGCTTGGGGTCCACGGGACAAGAGGAACCAGTGGTTGGAGATTGACTCTAGGTGATCACATGGCTCAGAACCGAAGTCAGTGGCGCAGATGTATACACACATTATCCTCATCTTAACAACGCTATACCGAATCTCACTATTTTGTCACTCCTCTTTCCTTTCTTCTCGTACTTTATATTTCTTTTGACTGAATTTTCTTATCTTCATCCTTCACCTCACTACCTTTTTACTTGATGTGCTGATATGAGGTGTGGCAACTCGGACCATTACGCAGTAATGCCTGGTCCTATGTTGATGATGATGATGATGAACCTCCTATGTGTTCAAAGCCACTAAAAGACTACTACACTAAACTACTACTCATACATAGTGCGTACAATGTGCATGGTTAGATGCTACTAATTACTTGTCAACACCGAATTAGATCAAGCAGTTTAATAAATCTAATCCTGTGACTGGAATTTCAATATTCATGGAATTAAACAATGCCATGATCATCTGTATCATTATTTTACTCTATGTAACAAGCAGCAATTAATTAAAGCTAACTGACTGACAAAATTAACGTAGATCCTCGCATACATGTGCATCCGCTCAAGTCTAAGACTTCACAGTAGTACACAAAAAACAGGTGGATAGGAAAAGAGTGATAATCGAGGAAGATAAAGTAGTGTGGGAGAACAAACAATTTGAAGATAAACATCACTAAGACTGTTCAAGTTTTAGAAAACGTAAAAGACTGAGCCAATTCACCAAGAGTCAGTACTCAATCACTGTTTCCTATCAACTTGAGGATATCAACCAGGAAGTCTATATTGCCTCACACGATTTACACCATCAGTAAGAGACTTTATCGATTGGTGCCACGGATTAGTCTGGCCACCTTGCATCTTCTTCTAACCTAATCCAGATTCCTCTAGTATGCTACGTCAATGTAAGCAGTGGCTCAGAATGCATAGTAAATTGCTAAGGCATCTCAGGCGACTAACGTTCACAACCTCATCAATCGACTTACCTGTCTTGCCTGGTACCTTTAGCCTAACTTTCACATTGGTCATATGATAATTCTACTAAATGCAAGCAATTCTACGAAGACATCTGTGATTAAAAAAACTAGTAAAGCATCCATCAAACAGCTAGGTTGCATAATTAATGCTGTTTTAGAAATTAAATGCGGTTGAATATTATATCCAAGAGATAAACATAATAAACAACAGTATAACAAATAAGATATCTTCAACAACTTACTGTTCAGCAGCAACTGGTTCTTCAGGTGTTGGCTCTTCTGATAATTCATATTTCAAGTGATAAAGGTTTAAGAATGGAAAGTAGTTATACAAGGCAAAACCACAAATAATCTTTGGTTTAGTAAAACTTCTTAAAAAAAAACTGTACAACTTAACCAGCGTAAAACGATTAAATACAATACAGTGATTATCGATACTTTTATTTATTCAGTTGCGAACAACACATATCGTGTAAAACGAAACCACTATGTTATTTGATTCGAAGCTTAACTATGGGAAACGAGGTAGTACCAACACACGTTGTAGTTAGTTACAACTTTCATAATCATTTCAAAATCCTGATAAAGTTACTAAAATGATAACTAGATGGTTAATGAATGTCGACTCTGTGTTTTGGATCGTTGTTGTCTTCTTAGGAATGCTCATTTCCGATGGCAACGGCATGTAACCAACTACGACATAACTTAGTTACCAAAGAGGAGAAACAAAGGAAACGACGGGCTGACCACTTCAAAACACTCTTGAATCGACCACCACCACCTGCAACTCGTCCAGAAATACCAAAAGCAGCCATAAAGTTACTGAACGCCAGGAAACCTATGGGACCATGTGGAATTCATCCAGAAGCACTGAAAATAGACAAAGAGACATCAGCGGACATGCTCACACCACTATTGCAGAAAGTTTGGACGGTAGGAAAGCTACCTGCCAATTGATTGGAAGAAGGGTTACCTTGTCGAACTTCAAAACAAGGGTGACCTAAGTCTTTGCAAGAACAAGAAATGGAGCAGAATCATGCTCCACTCCTGTCCATCTGAAGAAAAATATTAAGAAGCATCATCCTGGAGAGACAAGAAAATGCACCGAAAACTAATTTGCAACTGCTTTAAAACTACGGTTTTAGAGCCACAAACCTTTATCAACCTCATTCAACAGCTATATGCTATATGACGCTACATGCCAAGTGATTCACAATGGAAAGCTGTCATGCCTTTGAAGTGAAGACATGAATAAGACAAGGTTAATACTTACTATCACCGATCACCTTCCTCATTGTGGTCGACTGGACTCCACTGGATCATGTAAGAAACTGTGAGGAGGGAGAAGAGGGGCATACACTGTTTGACCGATGCGATGAAAACAACCTACAAAGTTTGGCTTTCGCCAACGATCATCTATATCTAATGTCTTGTCGCACAAAATTGAAGATCTACAACTGAAAACTAACAATGTCAGCAGAAGAGGTAGGACAGCGAACATTCGACTTTATTCAGTTGGAAGTAGAGAAGACAGGTGATAAAGATACACAACCGACCACCATCAACAACAACAAGCACTAATCACCATCCACGAGAGAAATCTGAACCAAGTTGTCTCTTTCACCTGCCTGCCTGCATAACCAGCATCGTCTCAAATACAGGCGGCACAGCCTCAGTATAGCATATCAAAGCCAGGATCCGAAAGACAACTAGACACACCTTCCTGCATCAATCTGAAATCAGTGTGAAGATCTACTGCACTGAACTGCACTGCACTCAGCATAAAGCGTCAACAACATCCAGATTTTCAACACTAATTCAGTCAAGTCACTGCTTCTATGTCATGGTTGAGAGAGTTGGCGCATTACGAAAAGCATTTCCAACAAACTACAAACATACATCAACACCTTCCACCTATGCTCACTCCATACTCAAGATCACATGGTTAGGAAGCATAAGCAGCAAACACCTCTGGCAACCAACCAACCAACCGACCAACCAGCAACCTATCACCCAACAGATATGCGCAGGAAGAAAGTCGAGATGGATTGGATTAGACATACACTGAGAAGACCGTTTGGGGACATCAAACGTCAGGCCAGGCCCTCGAGTGGGAGCCAAATGGGGGAACGACGAGGTGGGCGTCAGAGGGTGATATGGAAAAGATCGTGTGAGGAAGAGACAAAAGCTTATGGGCAGTCATGGAGCCAGGTTGAAAAGATTGGAGAGAAGAGAGTGAAATGGTGACGTGCTACTGAATCTCTATGTTCCACTAGGAACCCAAGGGACAAATAACAATCATAATAATAACGGTTAAGATTAATTATAGTTCAGTTCTATCATAGTGCCCAGATTCTACTTTTATTTGAAGATTAGGATAGAAGTCAGGCGTGAACATATCCACGCAATTATAACCAATCCTGAACAACATCATGAAGGGACCCTAATGATTGGCAGCGGCTACCATGCGAATCCTCATCTGGATGTCTACATTTCTTTACGCAGAGTGGATTAACAGTGACATGCTAATGTGAAATTTTAGTCTGCTCATATTAAGCTTCATCTCAACCCAACTCTTCTTTGGTTAACACATCAAACTGAGGTGGAAGGTGACCAGCTATGCATGACAAATTATTCTAGGCACTTCAGTCAATTGACTAACCTCTTTTGCCTAAGATCCTAAGCCAAATCCTAACCCTAAGTCACACGAGGATTCCCAAGTATGTGGCTAATGCTATGAAGACAACAGCGATGTTCGCTTAGTTGGATGATTTAGTTATAAGGCTTTTACTTTGATTCTAGACATCATCAGCAAAAATTGAAGAAAGTTAAGTATGAGTATTTCTGCACAAATAACTTAGTGGTATTTCACGATAATCTAGGATGTGATTGGTTGGTTTTGTAATTGTGGTGTTATTGTTCAAGCTACAAATAATCTACACCATCTCGAATCATAAGTACCCATGAACCTTTGACTCATTGGTTCGGGCACTAAATTTTCAACTAGTGGGTCAAGAGTTTGAATCCTCCTCCACCTACTGAAGTTGAATTTATAGTACAAAATGAAGACTGAAGCAAATGACCAACTTCCCTGCGAATATTCAATCTTTTCGCATTACAAACTTTATAACCGATTTCTCAATTTACCGCTATTTTTTTTCTTATTTTTACATATGAACAGTATTTTTTTAATCATTACTATTTTCGCTTTTGTCATTATCTTCACTTCACTCAGCTGCTCTCCATTGTTTAGACTTCCGGTTTGCCTGTACCGTTTTGAGTCACTAAACGGTTACCTCTATAAAGCTGTCTTCCAGTGGGACATCTATCTTAAAACCGCGTGTACCGTTTAAGCTCTCCACCTTCAACGTTCACACCTTGATGCAGATCGGACAACAGGTAGATTTGGCTAGGACTCTGGGAAGCCTTGCTATTCACGCATACTGAATCCCAGAGACCCGCATACAAGATCCCAGTGATGTGCCTCGAATTAGATCCCCATCTGTCAGCTCGAAAAGTAGGTTTCATATGCACTTATCCGGGGACCCTGTTGCATCGGCAACTGACCTCGTTAATGTCAGTGTCGCACTAAGCCCTCGAACCGAAGCCGCACTACTCGACTGAATCCCCATCAATAGTCGTCTGCGTGGTGCTAGGCTAAAAGATTCATCTCGAGTAAGTAATAACCAGCAAGAGAAACGATGTCTTTTTATCATCCCTACTTATGCTCCAACGAATTGCAGCCCGAATCCAACCAAAGATAAATTCTATCACTAACTGGGTGACCTCAACTAAGTGCGCTCGACATATAACATAGTGCTAGCTGGGGACTTCAATGCGCAGGTCGGGTAATGGGGATCGTCTTCTGTAGCTTTGTGCAGATCATAATCTATTTCTAGCCAGCACCAACTTCTGGCACAACCAACGCCGTTGTGCTAGCTCGCATCCTCTCTCCGCCACTCAAGCCTGGACTCAAATAGATCCCATTCCAATCAACTACCGATGGTACGGGGGGATACAGGACTACCGCTCCACATGGAGTGCTTGTCTGGACTCTAATTATGCTTTAGTGTGTACTAAGCTCGTCATGAGTTTTGGTGGTCATCAAAATCGTCATCTCAAATAGGTCGATGTAAGCGATTTAAATGCAACTAACATTGCAGCTAAATACTAATCCGAGCTAGCTATCGATCCACCAGAAAGTGTAGACAAGCATTGACTGCACTTGCAACGCCATGAAAATGGCGAGTAAAGCCGCTTGCGGCATGGAAGAACGTCCCACTAATAAACACTGGGTCTCTGTGAGCTCCCTGCAACTTCTTGACGCCCGATGGACCATTCTGGAGGATAGCGAGTACAACAGTTCGCATAGGTCTCTTAAGCGAAAGATTACACAGCGCATACGCAGGGACCGTGAGGCTTAATGATCAGAACGCGTGAGTGAGATGGAAGCAGCAGATACATCTTGCAATAGTAGGAAGCTGTTGCAGCTCATCCATGCCACCGATAGGAAGAAGCCGGGTGCCCGTGAGATGGTCTGTGAAGTATATTTTACATCTATAAACAATCTCCAAAGACGCCTGGAACGCTGGGTGGAACACTTTGCAAAGCAGTTTAGCTGGCCCACAGCACCAACATTGTCAGTTTCGCTATATCGTGCTCCTAATGAAGCAGAGATCCATAAGGAACGCCGAGTTCCGAAACGCCACAAGGCTCCCTACCCAGACAACTTACCTCCGACTCTTTTTAAGGATGGATGAATGACTCTAGTCAGGAAACTGACTACAGTGTTTGAGAAGGTACAGCAGACTGACAGTGTTCCGTCATTCTGGAATGACACCATTGTGTCTACCTAATGTATGTGATAATCATCGGGGTATTTAGTCTGTTACCAGTCACGTCGAAAATATTGGCTGCTATCACACTTCGCAACCTCGCCTGGTTAACTAGTTTACTAGTTACTACCCGGTCCTAAGCCCAGGTAAAGAGGGAAGGTTGGGCATACAGCTAGCAACCCTACCCCGTAAAACAAATCTAACCGCTAAAGAAACTTCAAAGCACAAACAAAATATAAAAAATGAAAACAAACTTATTCCCCGCTGGAATCGGAGAGGCGAAATGACGCCAGTTGGTGAAAGCCTTCGGGAAGCCAATTGGCCGATGTGTCTTCTCTCGATGAAAGCGAAAGTAAACGTGGGGACATGGAATGTCCGCACGATGTTTGAACCCAGTAGGGCAGCCCAGATTGCAAAGGAGATGAGAAGGTATAACATCGAAGTGCTTGGAATTTGCGAAAGCAGATGGAATGGGAGTGGACTCTCCAAACTGTCAACTGGAGAATCAATAATCTACTCCGTTACTGTCACCCAGACGCCAACCACGAGCACACTGAGTTATGGAGTGGCTATCATGATGTCCTCAACAACATCGAAGGCTCTCATGCAGTGGGAACCAATCTCCTCCAGGATCATGACAGCAAGATTCAACTCAAAAGGAAGAAAGGTCACAATCATACAATGTTATGCACCTACAAATAATGCAGAGCAAGAGAAAAAGGAGGATTTCTACAGACAACTTCAATCAACACTGGACAAGACGTCAGTTGGTGATATCAAAATTCTAATGGGCGACATGAATGCCAAACTGGGAGGGGACAACACAGGAAGAGAACTAACCATGGGTCGAGAGGCGCTAGGTGAAATGAATGAGAATGGAGAATTGTTTGCAGAATTCTGTGCATTCAACGATTTGGTGATTGGAGGCAGTGTGTTCAGGCACAAAGATATCCACAAAGCGACATGGATTTCACCAGATGGACACACTAAAAATCAAATCGACTTTATCTCAATCTCAAGAAAATGGAGACGCAGTCTACTTAACACAAGGTCAAGAAGAGGAGCAGATGTAGGTTCACACCACTCACTCTCTAGTGCAAGGAACCTTCCAAATCAAGTTAAAAGCCTTCAAGGAAGCTGGTGATAGACCTCAATTCAAGTACAACACTCGGAAACTGAAGGATGAAACTACAAAGGAGATCTTCACTCAGGCAGCCATCAAGACAAAATGGGAGACATCGAGCAACATCCCTGAAGAAACCTGTGTGGAAGAACACTGGAAGTCTTTGAAAGCTATGTGGAAAGAAACCTGCACAACAGTATTAGGAAGGAAGAAGAAAGAAGACAAGGAATGGATCTCGACGGATACCTGGAAGCTGATAGAGGAGAGGAGGATGGTGAAGCAGAAGATAAACCAGTGCAAGGATGCTCAACGACAAGAGGAACTGAGCACAATGTATAAAACACTGGACAAAGAAGTGAAGAAGAGTGCACGCAAAGACAAAAGACACTTCTACGAAACACTGGCAAGTGAAGCAGAACAGGCTGCAGGTAAGAGAGACCTGACGACATTGTATCAAATAACCAGGTTGCTATCAGGGAAGAGACCAACACAGATGAAACCAATAAAAGATGAAGAAGGAAATTTAATTACAAAAGAAGAGAAACAGAGGAAACGATGGGCCGACCACTTCAAGAAGCTCTTGAATCGACCACCACCTGCACTTCGTCCAGAAATACCACCTGCAGCCGCTGAATTACAAGTGAACATTAATCCCCCAACGAAAATGGAAGTCCTGAACGCCATAAAGCTACTGAAATGCGGGAAAGCAGCAGGACCAGATGGAATACCGCCAGAAGCACTGAGAACAGATGCAGAGACAACAGCGGACATGCTCACACCACTATTGCAGAAGGTGTGGAAGGAAGAGAAGGTACCTGTCGATTGGAAGAAGGGTTACCTTGTCAAACTGCCGAAGAAGGGAGACCTCAGTGCTTGCAAGAACTGGCGCGGAATCACTCTCCTGTCCACCCCAAGTAAAATATTAAGCCGCATCATCCTGGAGAGGCTTAAAGACGCACTGGATTCAAAACTGCGACCGGAACAGGCAGGCTTCAGGAAGTACAAATCATGTGCAGACCAAATTGCAACGCTTCGTATCATCATAGAACAGAGCATAGAATGGCAATCACCTCTCCACCTCAACTTCATCGACTTTGAGAAGGCCTTTGACAGCGTCGACCGAGAAGTAATTTGGAAACTGCTTCAATACTACGGAGTACCGCAAACCTTTATCCGCCTCATTCAACAACTATATGAAGATGCCACATGCCAAGTAATCCACAATGGGAAGCTCAGTGATGCCTTTGAAGTGAAGACAGGAGTGAAACAAGGTTGCCTACTATCCCCCATGATATTCCTGATTGTGGTGGACTGGATCATGCAGCAAACAGTGGGGAGCGAGAAGAGGGGGATACACTGGACGACGGAAAAGAACCTAGAAGACTTGGATTTCGCCGATGACTTATGCCTAATGTCACATAAACTTGAAGATCTGCAGGCAAAAACTAACAAGTTGATAGAAGAGGCAGCGAAGACGGGACTTCAGGTGAATATAGAGAAGACAGAAGTGATGAAGATATCGCACCACCACCATCAACAACAACAACAAACTCCAATCACCGTCAACGGGAGAAACTTGAAGGAAGTAACCTCCTTCACTTATCTAGGAAGCACTGTTTCAACTACAGGCGGGACGGACGAGGACGTCAAAGTCAGAATCGGAAAAGCAAGACAGGCGTTCATTAGCCTGAAACCAGTGTGGAGATCTTCTGCACTCAGCATGCGGAACAAGATACGGATTTTCAACACCAACGTCAAGTCAGTGCTCTTGTATGGCTCAGAGACTTGGCGCGTCACGAAAGGCATTTCCAATAAACTACAGACATTCATCAACAACTGCTTACGCTCGCTGCTGAAGATCAGATGGCCAGAAAAAATAAGCAACAAGGAACTCTGGGAACGAACCAACCAAGAACCTATCACACAACAAATATGCAGGAGGAAGTGGAGATGGATTGGCCATGCACTGAGAAGGCCGACTGAGGACATCACGCGCCAGGCCAGTTGCTCGAGTGGAATCCCCATGGGAAGCGACGAGTTGGACGTCCGAGGGTGACATGGAGGAGGTCGTGCGAGGAGGAAATGAGAGGTTGTGGGCTGTCGTGGGACCAGGTTCAAAAGATCTCAGAGAACAGAGGTCACTGGAGGCGTGCTACTGAAGCCCTATGTTCCACTAGGAACCCAAGGGACTAATAATAATAATAATAATAATAATCACACTTCGCAGACTTTGCAAAACAAGCAAGGAAATGATTCGCGAAGAGCAGGTCAGTTTTCATTTAGGTCGTGGATGCATTGATCATGTATTCACCCTCCACCAGATGCTTGAACATCGCCATACGTATTCCAAGCCAATAATCGTTGTGTTTCTTGACAATAGGGCCGCCTGCGATTCGTTGGACAGAGCTGTACTCTGGAACTGTCTGTTGGAGAGGGAGGTGTCTGAGAAATTTACCAACATTTTCAGAGCCGTATATATCACCTTAGGTGGAGTAAGGGCATACAACTGCCGGTGTCCATTGTTCCAAACCAGGTGTGGAGTTAGGCAAGATTGCCCGATTTCTCCAATCCTCTTTAACTTTGCTACCGATGACATTCTTGAGACAGCTCTGAAGTGCGTGGCGGTGGTTGTACATCTACTACCCGGAGAACGGCTATTCGACCTTGAATATGCGGATGATATCGTCTTACTGTGCGATAACACACAGGCTACTCAAATGGCACTTAATCAGTTGGCGATTAGTGTCCGTGAGTATGGTATGTGCTTTGCACCATCGAAGAGCAAAGTACTTTTGCAAGATTGACAGGGGGCCTGTGCTTACTTTTGGTGAATACCTGAATACCACGTGAATTCGTGAAGTGGAAGGGAAGTATCATATTGATGATCATTTGAATATTAAGGACTGCGACCCCGGTCGAAATTTTTATTTCACCTTCAATCATCACCCAATATAAATATAAATACTGATCTGCCAAACTACGGTTATCTCAGATAGTTAGATGATAATTTTCAAGTTGTTATTCATCGTAGACGGATATCAGTTAGTGGAACAAAGGAAACCTGGGAGCATTGGACAGCTGTTTCGTCCTAATATGGGACTGTTAGCTCCAACTTCTGTTAGCACACGATATAGCGCTATATCGTGAGCTAACAGAAGTTGGAAATATGGATACTTGGATCCCGACCCAGCGGCTAAACGGTAGCGTGCTGGTCACGGAACCTGAAGGTCTTGGGTTCGATCCCAGGAGGGATCATAAGTGTGCACTGCTGAGGATTCCCATACTAGGACGAAACAGCTGTCCAGTGCTCCCAGGTTTCTCTTTTTCCTCTAACTGATGTCAGTCTACAATGAATAACAACTTGAAATATTTCCAAATCCCCACAATGCCCTCAAAATTCAGATGATAATTTTGCAAATTTGTTAGCTCAGTTGTTTTCTTGTTAATAAGCTATATTAATCAATAAGGATGATATCATAGTGTAATTAATGCTTTAGTTATACTTTTACAACTTTCACAGTGTTCATCAAATCAATAGGACGAGTAAAACAGTATGCTATATGACCTTGAGTTGTAAGAGTAAATGAATCCTTTTTATTTACTAAATAAACTCTTTTTCGTCTTCAATTATACGAAAAGCATTAGACAAATCTGAACTCAATCCTTTTAAAGGTCTATCTGTAGACAGGAGTTGTAAAACACTAATTTGGTATTTTTCTATACAGATCCATAAAGTGTATGCGCATATGAATTTGATCATGAAGTAGTTTTATCAATGAATAATACTGGGAAGCAGTGTATTGTATGAGATGTCTAGAGGTATCCAGTAAACAATTCTATCTCAACTAAGTTTTGTGTCGTTTAATGATGAAACGGATTATACTTCTGAGGTTTGAATTCACATTACACTTTGCTGCAGTCAAAGAGACACTAATATTCACATATTCTTACTCAGATTGAGATTTTCTGTGTACAAAATGAGTTATTATTCGAATAATAAATTAGGAAGATGAAAGCATCAAGATATACTCACCATGAGGTGTTTCATTTCCATCATCATGATGATCTGTTTCATAATGGTCATCTTGTTGATCACTTTCACCAGCATGATGTTCTTCGTCATTTATAGGTTCTTTATGATCATCAATAATCTTATCTTCATTGTGTTGAGAATCTTCACCCACAAGTGTATGTTCATTACCAGTGGATAAAGGAGGATGGACATTGTTATCTATAGGAGTATTCTCAGCACCACTAGTTTCTAACCGAAGGTTATCGTATTCATTGGGTTCTGTATATTTAATTTCTTCCAAGAGTCCTTTTGCTTTACGTTCTTTCAACTGTTAATAAAATAGACAGGATGAAAAACCAACTGATTTAGATTAATGAAATATGTAGGAAAAAGAAAAACTGCCCCTAGCGGCCTTGTACACATCCACACAGTAGGCAATGAAGCATACCTACTGGGTGAGGTTCAATGAAACCACTTGGTTAGCTAAACCTCAGTAGGTGGAGCAGGGTTCGAACCCGTGACTTACTTGGTTGGTAGTTCTTCCCCTAAATCATTGAACCACATCTCCAGGACATGTAAGTCAAAATAAAAAGCAATTCAACTACTTTTTGGAGGCCAGTTGAGTGATTTTAAGATAGTTCTGATCACGGAATGACTTCAGTTGCAGAATCACTGAAAAAGTGAGAGCAATGGACAACTCTGTCGTCTCAGCTGAGGACTTAGTAGTGCGTATACACGACAGTGTGAGGGATGAAACATAGGTTTTCAAACATTGCATAAACCTGTAACATTTTCAATGTGTTACATCACTACTTTTATATTACAATGGCTTTAAAATAATTTTACTACTCAAAATAATGCTGACTAACAGTTAACATGTGGTAAAAACACTAATGCCAATTCCTGCACTAAACTCAACATTCATTTCCTCTTACTGGCATCACTGACGCTCTAATACATAATATGACCTGAATGTCGTGAAATAGATGAATGGTCAAACGAATAAATCACCTACTAAGGTTATGAATCCCCATCCACTGAGATTATTATGTAAAATATTATGTTCCTAAGGGTGGGTAATAGCAGGGAGTAAAGTCCAAGGCATGTGATTCGTCCTATTTGGGACCTGTCACCTAACTATATCTGGATCCGAGCAAGTGATTGTGTTCCCACTGACAATCTAACCCAGCACTCATCGGCTACTTAACATCAAAATGAAATCACTAGCAATATTTAGGTAATTACACAGTAACCAGTATACCAACAGAACTTCATCAATTTGGTTCAAATCAATCAACAACAAGAAATACCAAGTGACAATGTCATGTTACACAAAAGAAGCTATTCTAACTCAGTAGCCTAGTGCACCACCTCCCGGCATTCGAAGCTATAGGTGATGGGTGAGTCTAGAGTGAAAGCATATCTAGTTAATGAGTTCTAAATAGGACAATACGTGTCCTGGATCCAACGACTAATTACTAACTGTCCTTAATGTTAAAATGAAATGACCAGCTAAATCAAGAGACTCATAGAAGAAAACATATGCCAACAAAGACTGATCAATTCGGTCCAAACCGATCAACAACAAAAAAATACACGTTCCAATACATAACCATCTAAATGAAATTTCCTGTTAAGTGAATTAGAATCTAGACAAATGGCATCTTGGAATAATCAAAATAAAACAACACAAATCCTGAGGAGTATAAAAAGTTCTCTGTTGATTCTGAAACTTCAGTTTCTGAATTAGGGTCGTTGGTCATTTGATACTGACCCGTTATCACATATAGTGGAAACGTAGCTCAGTGATTTAAGTATTTCATTACCAACCAGTGGATTAAAGTTTCAAACCTCACTCTGCCATCCACTGTTTAGGAAACCAATTAGTAACACCGCCCTAACATAATAGGTTTGGCTCAGTGACTACTGTGCGAACGCGTAAGTAATTATTATCCTATGTTCATTTCCCCTAATTTCTGGTATTTTCTTTTCTGCTAGTTCATTTTTAATTATCATTACTAAATCAATCATAATCATCATCACCGATATAAACATAGGATCACCTACATCAAGAAACAAAGTAATAAGATGAAAGATGAATAAATAAAGAAAAATCAGAAAAAGGAGTAGTAAGTAGTAAAAGAGGAAGAAGGAATGAGAAACTGCTGAACCCACTATAGTGGTTAACATGTAGATAATATATGGCTACATCTGTGCCACAGATATCGATTCAAGGCCATATCACCTACTGTCTCTAACCACTGGTTTCTCTTGTCACATTGACCCCAACCAGCTAGTCTGAATATACCTACATGCTTCAAACCAACAGTCGAGGACTTCATACAATGATACCATGTTTCAGTCTGACCACTATTCAGCTTTTTCCAGATTGAACCAACTTCAGCCCACATTGTGCCACAAGACGGACAGTGACTGGGCCTACATATACACAAATCCCGTCACCTGAGTCAATGAAGGTTCACAGGTGCATCAACTAAATTTCCTCTCTCCACCTTAAAGCTCTAAACTTGACTTCTGTGTTACTCATGTGGCGACAACAAGACATACAGCCCTTGCTTCGAAGGCAATGGTGGTCAAACACCACAAGCCTTCTCATGTCCTCTATCTTTAGTGATCATGTTTCACAGTCACATAGTAGAACTGAGTGAACTATAGCGCAGTACACCTGACCCTTAACAGATAATCGGATATCACGGCGGCGCCACAGATCCCGTTAGTTGGTAAAAGCCAATCAAGCCTTTTGTATGTGTGCAGAGATTTCACTGGCCACTGAGTCACCAGGACCAATCCGACTTCCCAGGTAAGTGAAGAGTTCAACGCTCTCAACCACTTCACTCTCTATCGTTAGACAGGGTACCGCTGAAGACTATTCCTGGGGAGCAATTTGCATTTGGGTGGCAAGAAACGCACCTAAAACATTCTCGAATTGTCACTCAAGGTATCCAGAGGATTCTACATCTTGTCCGCGTCTTCACCTTACCGGACGTCATCTGTATACTCTAGATCTACCAAGGATTCTCTTTTCATAAGACCAATCCATGTGATGTCAGATGAGGAGAGGAAGGCCTCTATAATTAAGTCAATGACAAAATTGAACAGAAATGGAAAGAGAGGGTATCCTTGATGGACACTACTCGACGTACAAAATTCACGCGGCAATTCACTATAGGCTAACATGCTCATGAGTCTTCAGGTAGGGAGCCTTAAACAGAGTGACGTACTTACTACGTACCCCTTTCCGCGGGAGATACTGTCATAAGACCTCAATTGATGGAGTCCAATGCCGCCTTCAGGTTGAGAAACACAGCTAGTGTTGAAATGTCCTGTCCATTGTCCCAGTACTCCATAGTGTGTCAGTCGCTGACCAATCCTTCTCCTATATCGCTTCACCAACCACTAACCTTTCAAGTCGTTTCCTTAATAAGTTAAAATGAATTCCTACTCCTACCTATCGCCACGGCCTTTTCCAACTCTTTAGCCTTCACCCTGATCTAAGAATTTAATTCCCGTGCTTGCTAACACATCCTGGTGTGGTTAAGTAAGGGTGCGATAAAGATTATTGCCAGCTCCATATTACCACACTTGGTTGAAACAAACCATAAAGTGGATGTGAATAAGTTGTTTTCTATCCCTCCTCAGGTTCCTATCAACTTTCCAAAAGGTACTCAGCTTAGAATTCTTTAGACTGCAGAAGCAGTAGCAATCAGGAACAAACAACCCGAGTTATATGTTCGAAAGAAACAAGTGTTACCTCCACAATTACTGTGGCCCTATTCGGTTTGCACAGATGCGTTAGCACCTTGACTCCATACTGTAGATACCCCTTCATCCTTATAATCTGAGATAATTTTAACAAATTCTCTTATTCTTCTTAGTTTATTTCATCCAATTGTCATAAACACCTCCCTATCGTTTTATTAAACTGAACTATATAAGCCGTCTAGTAACGATTGATTGCATCATAAACGCTTATATACAACTTTTCTCAACTGACTTCCTCAGGTGTATAATATTGTTAACAAACTGATAAGCGGGATCGTTATATTACTGACGCGTAACTTCTCACTATTTACACATAACTATAGGACTTGAAAAAGAAGCTATCGAAAAGAATATTCTTTCTTCACTCAAATGAAAGCCTACCCAGTTGTGCACTACTTACGCTAAATTACAGAGAGAGGGGGGAGGGGGGAGAGAGAGAAGGAAGGAGGGAGGGAAAGGGAGAGAGTGGGAGAGAGAGAGGGAGAGGGGAGAGAGAGGGAGGGAGGGAGAGAGAGAGAGAGAGAGAGGGCAGTTTAAAAGTGCAACAAATCAAATCAACGTAATTCTATGAGCTAGTTTACCTATGTTCAATATAGTTCAGAGAATACAGCTGTAATTAAAACACTTGCTATCTGGCCTGAAACGAGACGTTTATCACTCGAGAAGAAAAAGAGTAATGAATATTTCTGAAAGCTACTTCAGTCGATTAAGATCTTTTATCACTGATAAAAGATCGAAAAAGCCAATTCGAACCAACCAACCTGCAGCATCTTAAACTGGTGACAGTATTCTCAATCTCATTAAAGTTATCATCAAAACCCAAAACAGCCCATAGTTTACAATTGGAACCACAAGGAACGAGCCATAAGCATTATTATTATACGGGAGATGATGACACTTTTGGCCACTCAAATACCGACATTGCGTAGGGTACTTCAATGGGTTAGCCAATATCAACATAAGACTTGACACTTGCGCATAACACGTCTCCACATCTCATATCAGCATAGCAAGATAAAAATCACTTTATGCAGGGGCACTGAATTTTAGCTACTTGAAGTTGTCTCAGTGAGTACGAACTCGGCTACGCCAACCGATGTCTGAGCAGCCGGGATTTTCATTATCCCTCATACATTAGGTATGACTAACTGCCTAATCTATGATCATGCATATAGTTGATGAGTTGGTACGTCAATTTATTCTTTATTTCCGTGCTTCATACAGTAACTCAAAATGAAATTGGTGAAGTCAATCAAAAAAATATTTCACCCATAAACTTACATTTTCAACATACTCTTTAAAGATTTTATACCCTTGTTCAATTTCATTACGTTTAACAGATCTTGCTTCACGAAGTGATGCAGCTAGCGCGCTAAATTATATAAAAGGAGATAAATTAAAATGGAATTTTTCAGTTTTTCTTGATAGGGTAACCGATTAGTTCAGAAATAACCTTTATCATGAACTGAGATTAACTATGGAACCATAAGAAAATCAAGAATTGTTTAAAATGGCCATTGCATCTGAATTCGGAAATCCTATTAACAAATGATTATTAAATTTTCATAAATCTCGATGGTTAGTAAGGGATTTATTGTTTACGCATAAATTTCCTGATTTAATCAAATTACGGGTAAGGACACGTGTCTATACATTATGCTGTATCCGCAAAATAACAAGTATTACAATGTGGAGCAGTACATTCCTACCCACTGCCTGAATAGTAACTTGTTCGTCACATGATTTAAAGACTCTATAGTTCACAAGTCAGAAGTGACCCGTACTGGGTAGCATAAAACACCAAAACGATCAACTAAGTGCTTCTTGGTTCTTCATTTTCCCCTAGATGATATGCAGTAGGGTTGTGGCTCACTGTTCTAGGCACTCGGGTTCCAACCAGAGGGACATACGTTTGAACCCCCTTCACCTATCAAGGATTTGGGAAGTCAGGTAGTATCGTTGGTCCTCACATTATATGTGTGGCTCACTTCCCACTGCAAGAACGTGTACGTGGATCTGAATGCATTTCAATCTTTCTAAATGATACACTGGTTAACGTAAGAAGAAAAGATGACCCAATAAATGTATCTCAGAAATCTTCATTTACAAACTTACACACCTTAATGGATAGTTTCAATAACGTAATCCCTACTTTTGTATCACACAGAGAATACTCTTTGTTGTGATGTAATCTACACTGTTTCAGATACGTAGTAGAGCTTTCTGCTAAGCAGCAATATAAGAATAAACTTTAAGGTGACACCATACCAAATGCCATAAACATTCAGACTAGAGTAATATACTGTCAACTTCAAGAGAAACCTATTTCTTAGCTTAACCTACAAATTATTCACTGCCCAGTTACAAAGTTCTCCTAATTGTCCAAAAGACTGACTAAGAGAACCTCGCTTTCTAAGAGTCCGATTATTAATGCACAATGATGATTGAAAATGTGAAGAAACCCTAGAAGGCGGCAGAATTTCAAGTTACACATCATTCTCTGCTCGACAATAAGACAAAAACATGTTCAGATAAAAAAAAAACAGGACCTCGCGCAGAAGTATATCATTTTGACTACCTAGCCCTCAAAGTAACACATGAAAAGGAAGTCGATAGAAGAATGGCATAACGGTAAATATAAGTGTAAGGAAGGCATGTGTTTCGCACCTTTCAAATGTGAGACGATGTTTCGGAACTGGACTCCAACTGCCCCTAGTTTACTGATAGGAAATGAAGTGGTGGGATATGTTGATCACTTAACTTACTTGGATAGTTGCATCGGCTAGAAGCGCCTACTTGCTGACCAAGTTTTAGGTCAGATGCAGAAGGCCCTTATAGCACTTGGCAAACGGCGTCATCTTTGGCGCCGAATGGCAAAATATCCGATGATGTATCCAATGACGAGTATAACGCGCTGCAGTCCATTCTGAGACATGGCCGTTAAAAGTTGGAAATATGACGAGACTAAAGATTTTTAGTATATGTGTCTTCGTAGCATTCCTCGCGTTTACTGTAATCACCATGTGAGTGATGTAGAGGTCAGTCGAAGGAAACTAAACACGACAGGCAACTCAGTCGATGAGGTTGTGGACCTTCAGCGACGGAGACGGCTTGGATGTATGTTCCGCATGCCTAGCAACTGCCTAACTCAACGTGCAACACTAAGCGAAGTTCGATAAGCTCAGAAGACGGATCAGAGTGACCAGAAGGGGGATACGGCACTAGACCATGAAGTCTTTGATTGTTAGTCTGAGCAATATAGTCAGGTGCAGATAGCATGACTGGGGTCACCGAGACAATAGAAGTGAGAGATTCAGACCTCTTACTAAAATGGCTGAAAATGGATCACGATGGTGCACATGTATCCCCTCTTTGATGTCCTTTAAAGCTTTAATATCCTTAATAAACTTCATTTATAAATTCCTTCTCCTCCCAAAAACCACCGTTTACCTTCATGCCAGTAATTTTCCACTGACTTGTTCCTTGTATGTTACTGTGAAGTATGACAACTTAAGCCGACGCACTTAAGTGCGGAAATCTACAACGAATTTCTCTGCCTGGACTGACATTTACATCCCATTCATCTGTCTTGAGAGGTTATCACAGACCCATTCGTTTGGGCAAACATTTTACTTCATGAAACAAAATCGACAGTTTTTAACAGAATTCATCCTTCATATTATCATCAGAGCTGCAGTCGATGGGCGTGTAGGCGGATATTATGGATAGGGATCAACAAGTTTCACGACCCTTCCTAGTTCCTACAGATCCATTCAGTCGGACAACACATAGACAGCTGTTGACTGCTATCCAGTCGTGAAGTGCATTTCCTACTCAAGAACCTGCACCAGTGAGTCCACGAGAGTCTCCGGACACTCTTATGGCGGGTTTTGCAAATTCACCGTATCAGAGACAAGAGGTCAATTGAATAAAGGCACTCGGCTCGTGTACAGTTGTCTCAGAAACACAGCATAAAGCTACTGCTTGAGGTTCTAGAGTTTTGGCAAGAGATGCCTGTTATCCGACTTAACATAGAGTTCCGACATCGAAAGCTCCAATGTGAAATCGACAGCGAGATTTTAGGAGTCTATGAATGATCTTTCGCTGCCTTGGATTGTTAACAATCTTCACTGGATGTTAGGATGAGGAAGTTGCAAAAGGTTTAATGTTGGTATCAGGAAGTGAAGGCGAGGGATGAGACGAATATGAGGCAGTTAGGTTACATTCAATTGTGTTTTGCATGCTACTGGGAGAGTGCGGGTACTTCCCGGCTGCTCGCATGGAAGTTGTTTCCGTAGGGTAGTTGAAAGAGTAAATGGGACATCTGCTGGAGGCCGTTCACACAGTGGTTTTATGACTGTTGCTATGAGGTCTGATTGTTCCAAAGCTGGGTGCAGAAAACAACACCGCACGCATCAGAATATCACAGGACAGGGAAGAGTATGCTATTTCAGGGGGCCAACGTTTTCTAACCCTACTCCATCGCATAAGGAGGGCAGCATCAGCATGGCACTGCCGGTCATCCACGGGAAAAACTTTGCTAATGGATCATGACCGATTCGGGTAGTTGCTTGTGTGCCATCGAAAAGTATACACGTAAAGTCGAAAAGTCTTTTCCCAAGCAACAAATCTATGTCACCGACAATTACTTTTTCCACAGCCGTCTTGAACCTGTCGTCGATGGCAAATTTAAGTAATGGCGAGGCTAAGAGAAAATACCCAACAACGCTGCTGGTTTGGAGCAATAAAGATAGATGGTTGTATGTCCTTATCCTACTATAAAGTTTTTCCACAGTTTTCTCAACAAATTGACCAGTCAATAAGAGAGCAAAGAAAATTACTTACCCACAAGTTGATGGACACAGTGCAGGGTCCCCATATTCATCACTTCCATCACAACAGTCTATGAAAGAAAAGACAAACTTCATCTGTATAGAAACCGAAACATAATCATTTATTCGATGACACTGTTCATCACACCTTACAATTCAAAATTAAGATCTGCATAAAGTGCAATATATGCGGTAGTCACAATCGAATTAGGTAATAGTGGGATAAAATGGAGTTCATAATCCCATTTTAGAAGTAATAGCCGAAGTATAACAGCACTCCTCTGTAGATTATTCACTCACTTCAATATCCCAACATTTCATGCATGACGTGCAAAATGGATAAGCTACGAACCAATAGTAAAACAAAGTACATGTAACTGGAAAATCACATTTGACTTTGCATGCCAAAAAAAACACAAATTTATTTTTTAAACTCTTAATCTGAAGTAGCTTTCAGTAAGTGACCTAATAGCTGATAGTTACGCCTTCGAAATTTAAAGGCTAAATTAAGGCAGAAAACTAAGCATTCTGATTACGACAAGTGGAAAGACTAAAATATACAGTTGGATAGTTTAAAGGATGTGGCTTAAAAGTAATCAGTGTACATGGATTCGTGGTTTTTTAGGATTAATTTCTCAAAAAATGTGAGACAAATTTTGCGCTTTCTGGCACTCATCAAACAAGTCGTACTTGAATCCCTGAGGAAATTGATGTTTCCTCAAGGATTCAAAACTGCGACAATTAATGCTGCAAGAATAGACATGATCACCAACCTACTCAAGCCATGAATAACCCTTTACAGGACTGGATTATGAGCAACTGATCACCATAAGATAAGAGACATCTAGTCAGACTTCGGAAAAGGCCATGTGTGACCAACCTTAAGTAAAAGTCCCCTGAACTACGCTAATACACAAATATTACTAGCTCATTTTCTCCTTCAATAACCATGAAGAAATAACTACCAGAACGGGTAGCTGCAAATCACCGACCAACCCCATGCTTTCGGTAGCATGCGAAATTCAATTAACAGTAGCCTTTGTCACTTTTCTTGCTTTCACTTACAGATACCAACACTAAGTAACTCATATTTCCCTCAACTTACCATCCTCCGGTCAGTCAGTCAATATCAACATAAGACATAGTATTCTTGAGTAACGGACCGAGTTGCCACACTTCATACCATCATATCAAGCGCGAATGCACCAAGACCAAAGAGAGAGAAATAAGGAAGAGAGTACCCCAAATTAGTAGAAAGTAGTGATAAGATAACAATGAGGAAGGCAGCAATTATGAAATTCGGTATGACAATTAAGATGAAGTTAATGTACGGATACAGCTGCACCACTAAGACATACTTAGAGCAATATCACATAAAATCTCCAGCCACTGCTTTCAGTTGTCACGCGGATTAAAACCAAAAAGTCTACAGTTCTCCACATGGGTCAAACCGATGGTCAAACTTCCTGGACTGATGCCATCTTGAAGTCTCGGGATCTTTAATCTCTTTTAAATCTAAACCTTCTTCAACGAGATTTTTGAGATGGGGTTGACAGCGATTAGGCATGCGCAACACACTTTACAGTTATTGGAGTCAATGAAAACTCATAACTAATTTAACAGACATACCTCTTCTGTCTCAAACTACGCGTCCAACTCCTACGATATGGTGCAACAACGAACACCTGAAGGCGGCAAGAATACGTTTACATGAATGCACTGATTTAGAATAAGCTGCCGAGACCTGTTAATTTCTTCTTGCTAGCTACGCTGTGACCATTGTTAACGATCCAAGGCAGCGAAAGATCATTCATAGACTCCTAAAATCTCGCTGTCGATTTCACATTGGAGCTTTCGATGTCGGAACTCTATGTTAAGTCGGATAACAGGCATCTCTTGCCAAAACTCTAGAACCTCAAGCAGTAGCTTTATGCTGTGTTTCTGAGACAACTGTACACGAGCCGAGTGCCTTTATTCAATTGACCTCTTGTCTCTGATACGGTGAATTTGCAAAACCCGCCATAAGAGTGTCCGGAGACTCTCGTGGACTCACTGGTGCAGGTTCTTGAGTAGGAAATGCACTTCACGACTGGATAGCAGTCAACAGCTGTCTATGTGTTGTCCGACTGAATGGATCTGTAGGAACTAGGAAGGGTCGTGAAACTTGTTGATCCCTATCCATAATATCCGCCTACACGCCCATCGACTGCAGCTCTGATGATAATATGAAGGATGAATTCTGTTAAAAACTGTCGATTTTGTTTCATGAAGTAAAATGTTTGCCCAAACGAATGGGTCTGTGATAACCTCTTAAGACAGGTGGCTAGAGTGTTGTGCAGAAGACTGAGGAACAGGCCTAGTAGTTTGGAGCCATGTTTTGGTTGCCTAGCATCCAGCCTAAACCTGAATTAGACCTAGGTGCTGGTTCTCCAATCATCCGCAAAGTTGAGAATGGCTGTTTCAAAATTGCAGCAATGCAAAGTAACAGGACCTGACAGTTCACCACTAGATTTTTTTAAGGGAGGAGGGAGAATATTACCGAGTGGACTAACGAAGTTACTAGGTAGTGTATGAGAATCAGAAGTAGTCTCGTCAGACCTGTCTATATCACTAACCATTGCAGTTCATAAGACGGGATAGAAATCTTTTTGTGATAACCATAAAGGTCACGGTTAGCTCGACTAGCATGCTGCTCGAAATCCTAGGGATCATAGTTATACATCTAATCGGAGATCAAAAACAACAAACTAGAGAAAGTCAGGTAATTTTTAAACCTGGGCGAAGGTGCATAGATCGAATATTTACGTTTTCGAACAAAGATATACAAAGACGTACCAGTTGAAGACGCAATGTTTTTTAACCTGAAGGCAGCATTCAACTCTGTCAACAGGAGGGCGTTGTGACAATGTCTGGTTGTCAGGGGAGTGCCGAGTAAGTATATAATGCAAATCAAAGCTTCCTATTCGACCGCATTCAGTCGTCTAGGGGTTTATGATGAGTTGCAATCTACAGCGATGTCAACCACGGGTGCCCATTACCACCGTTCTTGCTTAAAATCGTTATTAATGGATACAACTTCAGGTAGCTCCAACTTTAAAGGCGTTAACTTACTTCCAGGAGGACACAAACGAGATAGTCTATATTCATAAACCTGATATGAATACTATTTTTCGGTGTGATATCTAAGAAACAAACTTAAGTGGGATTACAATCTACTACATGGTCCACGTTTTAATTTTTGACCTCAGGTTTTTTCGCAGCATTGCTCACGTGCGGTGGAACAGCCGTGTGAACAATGGTAAGATTAGGTGGAGAGCACTAGAAAAGGAAAGTAATTCAGTCAATGTGATTGTGAACCTTCATCGAATAACGCGACTAGAAAGTGTGCTACGCATGCCGAGCCACTACCCACCTCCATATACAATGGTAGCCGAAGACAGTTGAGGGTCACCCGACCAAGACGTGGAACTAGTCCATAAAGTCTTTGATTGTTGGTCTAAGCCATGTAGGGTCCCCAAGACAATAGGAATCAATGGTTGGAGACTTAGTGAAATGGCTGAAAACCAGTTACAATCGCGCAGATGTCTTCGCTGTTTGACATCCTCTAGGCGTTGAACGAATTCATTAACGTTCATTTTTTGAAGTTTTTTCTCTTCATACGCACCTTTGTGTTTTAATATTATTCTATTCTTCGCAGCATTTCATTTTTGTATGCAACTGTGAAGTGTGACAAGTCAAAGTGATGCACCTTGCACCAGTATCTATATGTTGTTGTTGTTTTTTATATGATAGGTCTACATACAATAAAGGCTATTCATAGCTATGAAACTGTATACGTACCGGGTTTCCGAATTAATTTGAAACTGCTGTTAGTTCTTTAACGCACTTTTCTTTAAGAAGTTTGACAGTTAACACCAAAACACATGGGTTACAGTACCTCATAAATGCTTATTTGGCCTTTGCGCTGCATGTCATATATTCTAACGATAAGTGGCTCTAAGCTACACGGCTGAATACCAACAGACAGCTTCGTACAAGTCAATAGAAAACGGTGTGAACGCGTAAAATATTCGAATGATATAAGTGATTAATTCCTGCAGAAGTACATGATGGGGTTTACCTTACATTTATCCAAATCAGATATTTTTAACAAACGAAAGCAGGAAAGGAAAAAAAGTGGAGAAGCGATATGCTCTTTTATGTCCTTTAAAGCTGCAAATTTCTTCACCGAACCCATGATTTTTACTAGCTTTTTTTACTAGACCATACATTTGGTTCAGGTATGCGGATGATACATTTGTAACTTTAAAAATGTCATCCTTGAGGACGTTTTCTAATCAATACTTGTTCTTCACATTTTAAATTGGCGTTTGGATATGAAAATGAAAGTGATGGAATAACATGTTTAGTATATTTAGAATGAAAGGAAATAGAAAGCCTAGTTTATCAATCTATCTTGAATCAGTGCATTCAATTCAATTTCTCGATTGCAGCTTAGCATATCCACTAAGCACTTGCAATTACTCTAAACCAATCCAGGATGGCAACAAACCTCATCATGAGTGAATAAAACAGACAAAGGAAAGAAGAAACATGTTTTATATTTCAGTAACTACACTAATAACATTCAGATAAGGTACCATGAGCATACAAATCCGAAAGAAAAAGCAAATAATGAGTTTTGAAGCTGGCAAAGTATTTTTACTTTTCTGCCAAGGCATTGCTGGGGGTTATACATCCCCAAAAATGAACGTTCTATCTTGCATTTTATAAATTTATCTTATGGAAAGTCTGAAATCTTTTCGCGTCTTCTCCACCCCACATGTATCGCTCAATTTTACCGCTTTCAAGAACCCTGTTGGTCAATCTCCGATTTTTCTTATGCCATTTTATCTATTCGCCTCAAGGGCCTATGAACCGTATATAAACGAAAGAGTTGCACCTCTGGATTACACCATACCTCAATTGGAGTAAACTCGCTTCAGTCCAAAATTATCTTGTTCTTGTGCCAGCTCAGCCAGTTGTCAAGTGTCATGTTTTTCATCCAGTAACTAGGTTACACGTCCCCAGTTAATCGTATCCAAGACTCTCGGCAATGACAACGGGGTATTTTAAAATGGATTACGAAAAATTCGATAGATGTTTTGATCAGCAAATGAAGACGGCATTTCCTTTGCTTTTATATAAGATGGTGTCTATGGGTTAAGCTATGTCGATCGCAATGCCTAATATTTTGAAAAACCATCCCTCCAAAATCTTCATTCATGCAGGTTTAATAAAACGTCCTAAAACTAATCTTGCAGAACCGGATAATGCACATTATCTTGCATCCTAATGCAATCAATAGGAAGGAAATGCTAACTATCCAACCAACTTGGACGGTATGTCCAAAACAACATGTAGACACTGATCATAACTAAAGTACTTGTATACAAACAAAAGGAATTTCTTATTCATTACTTCTTCACACAACCATGCTAACTCAAACGTACCCACACAATCAGATCTTCACCTTAATCTTACGAACTAATAACCGTTGGTGGTAACAGTTGACTTTAAAGACTACCCCGCCGACCGCTGAAATAACGAACTACGTTTCTCTACTTCGACTGGAAAGACAGAATTTTCATATAATAAGGAAACCTTATTGGTTATTTCAGTAGTTAAGAGAATGGCCTTCAGAGTCACTCACGATAACATTTGATTCTATCTTATCATTTTATGTACATATATGAACAAGAGTTTACTTGTTCTCACTTACTATCTTGACGGCAAAATAAACAAAAACTGACATTACTACGCAACAGTCCAATTCAGCACACACATGAGCACATTAAACGAAAATGCACCAAGATGAAAGATAGAGAAATAAAGAAGAAAATAGTCAAATGTGGTAGAAAGGCGACCCAAGAATGCAAGGAGGAATGAGAGAATAATGAAATTCACTATGGTGAATAAAACGAAAAAAATTTGTGGACAGATTACGTCACTGAGATTGGTTCTGAGCCATGTCACTTAGAGTCTCCAACCTCTGGTTTATGTAGTCATATGGGCTCCGATTGGGAAGTCTACATTTCCATACAGGGCTCAGACCAACAGTCAGAGAATTCATGGATTGATATCATGTCGTAGCCTGGTCGTCTGTAACATTATTTCGGGCGAAATATAATTCAACTACCATTGTGTGACGAGAGAAATAGTGACTAGGCACGCAAAACACAAATCCCAGCCACTTGAATCGATGAAGGTTAACCATAACCTCATCACCAGATAACACATTTCTCCATAAAACTCTGCACCTGACTCCCACGATACGGACGCGGTGACACCAAAATACACGGCTTATGCTACGAAGGAAACGGTGGTCGAATACCTGAAACCATCGCATGTCCCGCCTTAATTACCATGCTGCACACCTACACAATATAACGCACTGGACTGTAGCACAATGCGCGACGCTTGATAGAAGGTCGGATATCACGGTGTAGCAATAAATGGCAAAAGTTAGCAAAAGCCGACCCAGCCTTTAGTATCCAGACTGATGTTTTGTCGTTCTCTGGTTTTCTCTTTCCGAGCTCCGCTCAGACCATACTTCTGTCAGGCTGATGCTCCAGAGGTTTTCATGGGAGAAATTCTTTCTCCTGAAAACTGCGACAATCAGTGATCCAGATCAGTCAGAGAAGACTATATCTGATTACAATGCACTAGCCAATACTTCAGTTAACCTGACCCGTAAACTATGACTACCATCCATAAATACCTCCAGTACTAATGCGGCTGACCTTGCTGTCCTTAATGGTTTCAGATTACTTGTAGCGTTCCCGATTCCAGTAAGTGTTGGACTGACGCTTTCAACTTTCCATTCAGGATCCAACTGGATCATCATCAATATCAACATAGGACCAGGCATTACTGCGTAACAGTCCGAGTTGCCACACCTCATATCGCCACATCAAGTAGGAAGGTAGTGAGGTGAAGGATGAAGATAAGAAAATTCAGTCAAAAGAAATATAAAGTACGAGAAGAAAGAAAGGAAAAATGGGGAAATGGTGAGATTTGGTACAGTGTCGTTAAGATGACAATAATGTGTGCATACATCTGCGCCACTGACATTGGTTCTGAGCCATATCACCTAGGGTCTCCAACCACTGGTTCCTCTTGTCCCACCGACCGCAACCGCCTAGTCTGCATCGCCCCACATGGCTCAAACCAACAGTCAAACAGTTCATACATTGATGCCATGTTTTAGTCTGGCCACATCGGACCTTTTTCCAGCTGGACCTACTTCGGCCAACATTATTTGACGAGGGGATTGGTGATTAGGCATATGTAACACGTGTCAGAGCCGAACATCTCAGTCGATGAAGGTTCACAACCTCGTCAACTGGTTTGCCTTTTCTCCCTAAAACTCTACTCCTAACTTCTGCATTACTCACGTGGTGACACCACGGAAGACGGCCTATAGTACGAAGGCAACGGTGGTCAAACACCTGAAGCCAGCTTTCTCATGTCTTCCAATTTCAATGGCCATGTTTCACAGCCATACAGTAGAACAGACCAGACTGCTGTGCAGGTGCAGTATGTGCGACACTTAATAGACAAAAGGATATCATGGCGGCGCCATAGGTGGCATAAGTTGGTAAAAGTCAACCGAGCCTTTTGTATTCGTCCAGAGATTTCATTAGCAACTGAGCGACCAGGACTGATCCCACTTTCCAGGTAAGCGAAGTGCTCAGTGTTGAGCACTTCATCACACTCTTTATTGTTAGCTGAGGCACAGTTGAACACCGATCCTGGAGCAAGAATTTGCAACAGGGGTGTCAAACGCATTCCAAACATTGTCAAATTGTCACTCAATGTGTCCGAAAGACTCTGCATCTTGTCAGTGTCTTCACTTAACAGGACTATGTCATCTGCATATTTTAGGTCTAACAAAAATTTTCCTGTGATTAGGTCAACCTCTGTGTAATCAGGTGAAGAGAGGGGGACCTCCATAAGAGTATCTATGATGAAATTGAATAAGAATGGAGACAGTGGGTACCCTTGATGGGCACCACTCGATGAGCGTAGCTCCGTGGACAACTCATCATAGGCTCTAGCATGCCTACAAGTGTTCGAGTAGAGAGCTTTTAATAATTACGTGCGATTCAGATTGCAGGTAAAGAATTAGATATTCTCCTTTTATCATAGCTAACCAATGATACTATTCGACTGCCTTTGTCACGATAGAAACACAAAAAGAAAAAGAATGAGAACCCATCTACTGACTAGTTTCTTGGTATCAATAATGCCCCCTTATTTTAAGCAGATCATAACAACGTAAATGTAAGGATAGGAATTCAGACCAATCAAACGGGTTACCTAACAATCTAAGGCCTAAGAAGACAAAACTTCTTGCACAAAATTAACTGCAAGACGCCTGGCCGCTGCTTCACCGAAAACTTGTGACTGAATAATACTTCTGTTGCTGAGTAGTATCAGCTTCCCCGTGAATCTATAATAAAAAAAACGTTGTTATCAAACAATACAAATACAAGTTGCTTCATCCTTCATTTGTTTACTCACGTAGGAAGCAGTTCCATAAATGTTTCGAAACCATGCCGATTCAAACTCTCTTACCACTGTTGCTGCTTATTAACCCTTTCAAGAACGATCGGTAGTAGGGAAAACAAGTGAATACAACTACACTATTCCTAAACAAGGCTGTGGTCTTCACTGTTTTCAAAAACGACCACAGAGGGGAACGAACTTAATCCCTAAAATCCACTCCTTTAGTACTTATCATCGTCATACTAAAATATGAACAGAATCATTCGTGAAACGGAGGACAACTTTAACAGCAGTCAGTTTACATACCATTTGATCATAAGCTACCAGGTAACTTCTGAAAACCAGTATCCTGCTCAATACTCTGAAGTTGTGGAAAACGCATGTAACAAATCTTACGAAAAGGCTCAAATCAAATGAGTTATTACTTACCGCAAACACTGTCGTTGACGTAAGCAGAAGGTAACAGAACAGGTCTGTATTGCAAATCACGACACGAAAACCGACCGTTTAGACAAGCAGATGTACCTGGCTCGTCTGATCCATCTCGGCAGTCACAATAATCATCATTGACTTTCCACCATGATATTGTAGATGAGCCATCTAAGCAAGTAAATGGACGACCGACCTGATAAAACGAAGATTCTGTTATAAACAGGGTTACACACAGGTTGAAGTTACTTGAAAGAGGAACGCCATGCGGCAAATGACTCCCGTAAATTCCATTTAAAATAAAGAGCCAAGCTGGAAATAACGGGAACACCTTCAGCATCATAAGTAACGTGCAGTACGAATTCACCTCGGTAACTTTGTTTCACTACTCAATAGCATTTCGAAAACCTAGCGACAACTAATTCCAACATCCAATATCAATAGTGCAAGTGCAAGAAATTGGTAGTCATTAATTCCCCGCGTCTACCCGTCCCGGCGTGGTCCCTATTTTGAATTCTTTACAGGCTGATTTATAAGAAGTAACCTATGCAGGTATTTAATGGATTTTTATTAGGCAGGTTCCTGTAGTCAAATATCCTAGCCTCAGTTAAAGCATCTGGCAATATGGTGTCACTCAAACTTTGAAGTGAACATGTGGCTTCTATAGGACACAGGCTGCTGGAGTCATCTTAGTAAGTTGCTGTAAAAATCAGCTGTTGGAGGTTGTATAGTTGCTTTGATACTTTTGCCAGCAACAGTTTATGTTAAATAAACAAACCTCATGTGGACTGAGGTTCCACCAGTGATCGCTCGTGCTTACCGAGATTAACACGGCCTTTGATGTGTCATAACGCAGCGAAAGCTCAGGTTTTTATTATGAGCATTCTTCTGGAGTGTCAGGTTCGATAACTCTTCCTTATTTTTACTTGTGTTCCTGGTTTCACTGGATACTGAATTCCTTTCTGAGTTTTAAGTTTCGCTGAATTTACTAAGGCTAACCTTTCGAAAATTTCCAGAATAATTGTGGGTTTTTTTTCTCCTACTTATGCGTTTTTACGGCAATGGTCGCCAAGCGGTAGATGTGTAGAAAGTAGAGTTGTCGTAGGTCCCTTCAGGGTGGTATACAGTCTGATGCCCGTGCGGACGGTTTTATGAAGCTTGCAGAGAATCAGAGCAAGTTGGTCACGTTTAAAGCCTTGTTGCAACTGGCACTGCTGCTCGTGTGGATTCGAACTGGAAGATGCTCTTGAAGGCGTCACCAACATTTTAACAGATATGAGAAGAAGCTGATAATAAACGAAATAAAGAGGAAGGGGAAGCTATAAAATTTGGGAGCAGCACTCAGTTACCAGGACTTTGAGGCTAAGAAACCGACTAGCGGAAGAAATCCTCAAGTCATTTGATAAGAGCAAAAAATCAGTTTAGCTGAAAATTTGACGCACCTCAGCAGTGCAACAGCACCATCAGTCTGGCAATACTTCAGCAGGATTTTGTCGTCAGCAGATGAGGCACAATATGCGACGGTCATACAAAGTAAGAGTGCTCAGGATGGAGAATGATACCTGTTGTATGAGATAAAAACATCTGGTTCTTAACTCCAATCAAACACATCAGATCGAGGAAGGTAGTAAGTGCCCAGAAAAATGCCAAACAGGTTAATACGCAAATGATGATCGAAACTAAGTCTGCAAGGAAGTCGAGTTGTCGGTAGACCACTCCAGTAAGTCATGCGGTTTTCAAAGAAGCTGTCGAGTTACCCACGAGCTAGGCTAAAGAGAAAGAAAAAATGAAAGTTCAGCAAAATAATGCCCCAGCGTCAGCAGCTCATAAAACAGACTACAATCCGTGATGATCCTTTGATTACCATGAACCCGAAGGAAAACCGTAATCTTCCACACCGCTTTCAGGATAAAAAAGTGGAATTTTTGTAAAAACGTGCGGCAAGCTAAGACTGGACCACATAAAACCTATAGACAACCCGAATCCCTCACCCGGTCTCAATGACATAAGTAAGGACCAGCTCCGGCTCCTTGGGATAAAATTCTCGAACCCAGATGATGTTGAGGATGCGCTGCTAGCATATCACGCGCTGAAAACCGAAGAGGAAGTAAGGATACTATTACATATTCTACACTCCGAGACAAACTCAACGACGGAGGTACTGAGAGGTACTCTGAGGGAAGCAGTCTGGTTAAAAAAGGGTGTACCCGAAAACTCAGGTACCGAGGGAATTCAGTACGACGCTTGGAAGTGAAAGTTCTCCAGGAATACTCTGAACCCTAACGGAATAATAACGTTGGGCCTCCCACGGGTTCCCAAAAAGAATGATGAAGCTTAACCAAGGCTGATCAAAGTGGTTCTGCCAGCTTTCCGAATATCGATATCCTAACTGCAGGTATTCTGAGCGAACAGAAATCGCTTTCCACACGGAGACCACATGTAATCTGACAGGTCACAGAGCGAGAGGCTGTGGCAAAACAAGAAAAAACGGAGCTATTTTTACTTTTTGAGGGCTGCTTTAGTGCAAAATCGGAAGAAGAGTGGGAACACTATGCTGGTAAGCTTGACTTAGGCACGTTCCCAGCATCAAACAGCTGACTAGGCTGGGGAGAGACCAGGAAGTGACTTCACAGTTGATAGCGTAAAATTGTATCCATACAACTCTACGAAGCTTGCCGAATAAACTCGATGAACTGTGGAAACTAGAAAAAGACAATGATGTCCATTTTACAGGTGCTACTGGGATACGGGTTTCTCCCGGCATATCAGATCAGGAGCTGGCAGTTGCCAACTTCACAAGGTTTCGCGATGGCAGAAGGGCTGGCAAGGTTGATGGGGTAGTACACTAAGCCAGCTCTTCTCTCACAGCTTACCAGATCAACACTGAATATGTGAAGTGTCTCAAGATTTCCATCTGGTGCCTCATATAGTTGTCCAAGACTAAACAGTGCTTGGTGGGAGGCCATCAGCTGACTGCGGTGTAAAGGTCAAACGTCAGGGGCAGTCAATTGCTCCCTCAAACTGTGTCGCGAAAACAATAATTCTTGGACATTTTAGGTCATAGAAGGTTAACTTTACAAATCATCCGTTCAGCGGGTGGTGATTCTACTAGAGCCCAGTTCCTCGGTGCGACTTGGAAACTAAAGCTTAGGGAGAATCTGAGGATAACAACACGATGGAAGGAAACCCAAACCCTGCCCCACCCGGGCTAGATTTTCGAAATGAAGAATTCTGGATTGGCGGCCTCTTAAACCCACATCCTTTAGGTGAGGGTGACCACAGGGTTACCGGGTTCCACTGTCTCCAAAACCGGTCCAATTAACTTTTCAGTGGGCGTCATCAAAATTTCAGGCAACTTATCACCCTGACTCTTAGATCGGCGTTGAAACGGACAGACTGGGATATTGGCCATGTACACCAGGATGTGAACACCCAATGGAGATTCATACTTGATAACATCATGCACTGCATTAGTTAACCCATTCCACCTTCAACACTGAATCGTTCCAAGTTGCTTTGGTAATAAGCGACTCCACTCGCAAACCACCTAGGTTCAGAGGGTCAACCACAAGAGTAATGCTACCGAATACACATGCAGACTATCCAAACTGACATGAAACTCACGAAGGGACCGGGAGATGATCAGCAACGGCATCATGTTAGGCTTGCAACCACGCTCATTTCTAGCCGGAGACGTATGTTCCGCTGTGTCGCATCGTTCTGGCAGGCCGAGACGGAAAACGCGCGACTTCTAGGGACCAGCGGATCGACTAGTAGTGACACCGAATCATCTGGACTTCAAGCTGACCAGTATTTGTAAATCTTTTCGTCATCGTCCACCTGCTCAGGAGTTTCCCAATATCCCACTAACTAAGTGAGCCTACCAGTCGTTGACTTACCTCTTCATAATAATAATGATATATTTCATACAACATGAGTTGCGTGAAAACAAACCAGTTTACGGGTTCGATCATTTTGGTAATTTGAACTGACCGTTATGCATAATATCAAGCTATACAACACACACCGTTCCTTCCCGTACATAAAAGATGCGTCTGGAGAAAGAGCGTTAATGCTTTGCAGACAGCAAAGAATAAACAGATAAACACCAGCATAACTGTTCACAGTACTGAAGCAAACTCAGTCCGAAAGTAGGAATTATTCGGCCATTGTCTGAATCTTCCAATATTCCTGAAGGCGGGGCGGGTAGTAAAGCCGTAACCTTGGGTTAGTACGGCACAGACTCTTGCTGATCCTAAGGGACACCCCAACCCAGAACAGATGAGATATATATGGCTGAACTGCTGGAATGAGTACCGATCTTGGGTGAACCTTTTTCACGCTTTAACGACGCGGATATGGAAGAAATACTACTACACTGCTAGCCTGCTCACTGCGTAGACGGATGAACTACTGTTGTCGACCATGGAGCTCAAATAGGTGCTATTTATCCAAGCCTCCATAAGGTGTTCAGTCAGGTTAATCAAGACTGCCATGTTGATGATTTGAAATTATTGGAATGAGAATACATTTCACCGACTGGTTGTCCCCAGTTCTCCAACGTCTTTTATTTAAAGTTCAGGTGAGCGTCTCTGTATCTGAAGGGACAGAATGTCGTAGTAGAGTTCCCCAAGGTTCGGTACCGGGGCCCCTTCACTTTTCAGTATACATAAATGACTTGCTCCAACAAGTTTCTTCCGAAATCCGTTTTTTACCGTTGACCCGAAGTTGTAAGGGGAAATCAAAAGTGAGGAAGACAGTGTTTCTATAAGAAACGACTTGACCCAATGTCAAAACCGGGCAGTCAATGGTGGGTTCGAATTCAATCTTGAAAAATGCAGGGTGTTACACGTAAAGCGTGATATGTATCTTGTACATAACCTCAGTCGCATGAAACTTGAGGCGTCGCAGACAGAAGAGGACCTGGATGGTCTGGCCAATCGAAACTTTCATTCCAGTGCCAACTGTGACAGACAGGCATTTTTTGGGAGTGTGACGTCCACAACCCTAAGACAAATTTCGGAAGATTCAATCACGGGTTCCGTCACCAATGGCGGCACCTGGATTTCGGGACCATCGTCTTTCCCCGTCTTCTGAAGGGAAACAAATGAAGCTTAGAACGTATCAGTAGGTGTTCGACCAAATCTGTTTCGGGAATCGTATCTTCTGGAATATGGAAGATTAAGAGTGGACCTGATAACGGCTCACAATATTTCAGGCACCTACTTAGACCCACTCCGTGGATCATTTAGCCTTAGTTCTAACACGAGTTTACTGCAACCTAGGGCGGAAATTTTTCCCCATTTTGCCTTTGTACCAATTGTTTACAATATCGTGGTCATAATTTTTCAAAAACAAAATGGAATTAAGCATAAAATCTATTCCCGACATTTTCATCATTTATAAATGTTTCTTATTTTAGCGAAACGTGGTATTAAAGGCTCTTGTTTCTCTCCTAGGTGCAACGGGCACTAAACCGAGCGTCGAATGGCATGGGATC